CTAATGTTTTATTCCAGTTCATTATGTTTGAACTGAGAGAGATAGTCTGTCACCATCAGAGAGACAATCCGCACATAAACGTTATTAGACAAAGCTTCTTATCGCCTCGCGCCATTAAACACGCACGCGCTCACGCAGCGTTAGTCTTAGCGTACGCCTGTCTCCCTCCTCATTAATATTCATGAAGCGGTTTGTTTTCCTTCAGACTACTTTTCCAAATGCTCGTCTTTGCTTCCAAATTAATCAGGATATTTTCTCTTGCGCTGGATAAAAGCCATATGGATTCCCAGAAATTAAATCTAATTATCTCCGACATGTGTCCGATTTCACAGCTGAATCCGGGATAAAGAAAAGAAAGAAAAGTATAGTGTAAATTCGGAACCCACTAACATTCACGTTTGTGATGTAAACTGAGCAAACAGAGTTTCTGTTGGTTCCTATTGTTGTTATTAGGGTTGTTATGTAAAAACTTCTCTATATAGCATCCAATATGTTTTTTGAAAGGGCCCTTATTATGGAAAAAACACATTTTTCTCCCTTTTCTTTAAATAAGAGCGCTTCATGTAGTATGTAAACACTGATAAAGTTACTTAAAATTCCCTCCTCAGTCCATTCAGTATATGGGAGCTAAGCTGCAAACACTATTACAAAATGCAGTTTCAGCCTGTTTTGTAAATCCCTCAGTTCAGCCTCAATATTAAGGTATTTTATTTAAATTTGAATGATATATTGAACTGAACTATTTAATTTGATTATGTTAATAAAAATATCCCTTCTACTGGAAGAGTGGCCACAAGTAGGTCTGCTGAAATGTTATTATTATTTATTCCAGGGTCTATCAAAGAATGTGAATGAATAAACCTCCCTTGTTCTGCACATTTTATTATTATTATTATTATTATTAGTTTATTAGTCCATTTTTTATTACATTTTTATTTCCCTCCTTGTTGAGTGTTTTCTTATTTGCTGTTATTTTATGCTTGTTTTTATGTCCTTTCCCGAAGCACTTCGAGCTCCATTTCATTGTATGAAAGCTGCTATAAATAAGGTTGTTATTGTTATTATAGCCCTTATTTTATTATGACATTCTATCTCCCTCTCTATGTTGTAGGGAACAGCAGGAAAGCCCGGCCCGCGAGGACAGCGTGGACCTACTGTAAGATTATCACCGTCAACATATAGAAATATAAATGGAAAATACACGAAAAGACAAAATTCAGTTAAGAATTAGAAGTACTAATCAGGTTTGTCTGTGTATCTCCATCTCTGCCTGTCTGTCTTTCTCTCTCTCTCTCTCTCTCTCTATAGGGGCCTCGTGGAGAGAGAGGACCGAGGGGTCCCACAGGGAAAGCAGGACCAAAGGTAAGCGACTCTCTGTTGTATGATAAAAATGAAAGTTCGTCCAAAAATCAAATTCATCCAGATGAGCCAAGACATGTTTGATGGCTGAGATTATGCACAAAAAAAAGTTTGCATTCATAAGCATAAACAAAGATATGTTTAAAAATTTATAGGGATAAAAAATTCTGCGTTTTATTTAATCACCAACAATTTGGAACGATAATGAGTGGAAGCTGTTAGAGCTGCAAAAGAAGACCAGCTCCATATTAATGCCTATGGATTTAGAATGGGATTCATAAAAGCTCCTGTAGGTGTGATGTATGGGTGTCCCAATACTTTTGTCCAGGTACTGTGTACATGTAGCCTAATTTAGGACCATTTCTACTGAAAAATGTATATACAAAATTTTTGCACACATAAAAATCTTGTTAAATCTGTCTTATACAGTGTTTTTAACTTTTGAAAGAAAAATTTATATTTTGCTGAACTTTCCCTTTAATGCCATGACTGTGCTAAATGTGAGACGTGTGCATAGATCTCCAAAACGAGTTTAAATCTCTCTCTTTTTTTTTTTTTACCTCTTTCTTGATCTTTCCTCCCCATAGGGCAACTCAGGAAGCGATGGACCCCCAGGACCTCCTGGCGAACGGGTACGGACCACTGAGATTCTGATCATCTCTTAATGTTTATTTCTAATCAATGATTGATAAGGTATAATGAGCGTGTGTCCATGTCTGTGCACTGCAGGGTCTGACTGGACCTCAGGGACCAACTGGATTCCCAGGACCGAAAGGGCCCCCCGTGAGTGAAATCAGTGAAAGGATTTTAAATAAAAACGAAATGACTAGAAGTTGCTCAGAGCCCAGAAATGTGGAGCTCTGACGTCACCTTAATGGGTTTTCTCCCCTCCCACTTCTCTCTGTTCTTTCATCCATTCATTGTCTTTATCATCCTCTCTAATATCCCTCCACCCACGCTCGTTCTTTCAGGGACCCCCAGGAAAAGACGGACTGCCCGGGCACCCTGGCCAGAGAGGAGAGACGGTGAGGATCTCTCAAGCTAACATGTTCAGCTCACCGTCACCTAAAAACTTGCACTCAAGCACATGTGTCAAAAAGCATAGCATAACAAAGGGGAAATTCCACCAATTTTTCAAAATTTCTTCATTGTTTAGTTCTTGAGATGTGAACATTCATTCAGAGTGGTTTGGTGTGAAATGGTTCAGATGTCTTTACAGTGGTGGTGATAGGAACCAGGGGTCACCATGACTACAACACAAATATAGACATTTATTTACCATCCAAAACCACCAGTGAACCTACACATCTTGTTTTTTTACATGTAATATTGTGCATTAGTGAAAATACATTTTTTGGGGTCTTTTTCACCTCAGAGAGGCCTGTGTGTACCCCTCCACCATGCATAGATGTTAAAATTTATATTTTAGGCCAAAACCTTCTCTAAACTATTATAACACAATGTCTCAGACGTTCATAACCATTTCATGTAAGGGAGCTTTTAAAGGTGGACGTCTGGTTCCTGTCACCACCACTGTGTACAGTTCTGACTCCATTTCACACCAAACTGCTCTGTTTTCATCTTTACCATTGAATTATGCTTTTAAAAATTTGGTGGAGTTGCCCTTCAAGTTGAAACATTTACTGTAGCATGCTGCAAAACTGCAAGACAAGTTCTGAATGTCTTGCAAGCTTGAAATTCCCATGTCTAGACCTGACCTGGTGCGAGAAAGTGAAAGCACAGACTGTTAGCTTGGCGCTAATGTATTATAGAAAAACCTATACGGACGCTAGTGGAAATTAGCTTTGTTGTAACAGTGAGCGAAAAAGTTACCTAGAAGTGAATGTCTGTACATTAAGCAGTGAAATGAAATTGGCGCATGTTCATACAGGTACTTAACTGTCATGGTAGGGGTGGTAACCTTAAGGGTACATCTTTAGTGCCTTTAGGAAGGGAATATAGTCGCATTTAGTCCAAAAAAAACGTCTCGAATCCAAAACTTTTATTTATTTTTTCCATTATAAGTCATGAAAATGTACCAATATGCCCCTTTTCTCTTGGGGAACAGAGTGTAGGGTACCTTTACAACTCATTCAAGGTACATAATTTAACCTGAAGGACTTTTCAGCGTACATTTACATTGTTTGTACCTGTGCAGTGCTCTTTTCTCTAGCAATATGATCATATTAATGTTGCTCTTGTCCTCTCCTCAGGGTTTCCAAGGCAAGACTGGACCTCCCGGACCACCAGGTGTTCTGGGCCCTCAGGTGAGCACCCACAAACCCGCTGTATCACAAGCAAATCCTTTGACTAGGCTCAATCTGTTTACCTGGAATGCTGTTTCTGTTAGGATGATCCTCCACTGAGCTTAGATAGCAGCAGAACTTTAGCATGGTTCTGTTTTAGCGGTTGTGGGGGCTGATATGGTTCTAACAGGCTTATTTTATTTGTTTTGATTTTAAGTGCATTAAGATTCATTCTGACTGAAGTTCTTGGCCTGCTTCAATGTCGTCCTGTTTGCTTTATCCATATTACTACCTTTTACACAAATTCACATTCTCTCTCTCTTTGTTAGTGGTGAGTTTCTGTAACATGTAATGAATCGTTAGAGGTCATTAGGGGCAATTACAGGTCACTAGACCTGTAAAATTGTCCTTAGGAACCAGCGTTTTGGTTGTTTGTCGAATTCTTTCTCCTGACACGCCGTTGTTTATGATGTTGGATGTTAGTGCTTAGCAGCTAATGAATTATTCATGAGCAAACAGACTCTGCTCTTTATGCTAATGTGGAGGTGGGTAGCGGTTCAAAGAGGCACCCACACACAGGTGTGAGGAAACGCACACACACCACAACCTTAGACCTTTATAGCGTCTTTAAATGCTGATTTCATTGCACACTCACATTGTAAGTCTGTGTGAAATGAAAAGAGCAGTAATTAGCATCTGTACCAGCAACTAGCAGATGTAAGCTGTGGATATGGAAATTGTTGGGAATATTTTATGAATGTTGGCGCACTGCCTTTTTCAGTGCAACTTTATCCGAGATGGTGTTTGTCAGTATTGCATGTTGGAGAGATAGAGCTGGACTGAGACCACTATTCTGCCACTGAGATTCTGGTTGTGCTGAACAGTCATTGCTCTAATACTACATTGCCCACAGTGCACCTTTCACATTGACATTCTAGCAGTGCTGACCAATCATCTCTCCAATATTACATTACTCAGAACACATCATTCACATTTAGATTCAGGCAGTGCAAACCAATCATCTCTTTAATATTACATTACCCACAATGCATCATTCACATTTAGATTCAAGCAGTGCAGACCAATCATCTCTTTAATACTACATTACCCACAATGCACCATTTACATTTAGATTCAAGCAGTGCAGACCAATCATCTCTTTAATACTGCATAACCCACAATGCATCATTCACATTTACATTCAGGCAGTGTAGCTCAATCATCTCTTTAATACTACATTACCCACAATGCATCATTCATATTTAGATTCAAGCAGTGCAGACCAGTCATCACTTGAATACTACATAACCCACAATGCATCTTTTTTTCACATTAAGATTCGGTCAGTGCTGACCAGTCATCTTTTTAATACTACATTACCCATGATGCATTGCTCACAGATATTCAAGCAGAGCTCACCAATCATTTCTCTAATACTACATTACACACAGTGCATCTTTCATATAGAGATTGAGGCAATGCTGATCAATCATCTCGCTAGCACTACATTACCCACAGTGCATTTTTCACATTGCGATCCAGGTAGTGCTCTCTAACACTACATTTTCCTCACTGCATCTCTTGCTGTTCAGGGACCAACAGGTGAGACTGGACCAATGGGAGAGCGAGGTCACCCAGGACCTCCCGGACCACCAGGTGAGCAGGGTCTGCCTGGACCTGCTGGCAAAGAGGGAGCCAAGGTAAGAATATACACACAAACACACACATGCACACGCACACACACATAAAGTGTATGACATCATACTTAATAACTTAATCAAGCTATTTAATTGACTGATTTCATTCTGTTGATTAATTAATCACGCAGCCTCAATCGAGTGTGTTTTTGTTTTTAGGGAGATCCAGGTCCCGCCGGCCCCGCTGGTAAGGATGGTCCTCAGGGCCTGCGAGGATTCCCTGGAGAGAGAGGATTGCCCGGCCCTGTTGTGAGTAGCTTGTCCAACATCACTTACACATCTTAGTGGACACAATCCCAGTCTGCAGTTATACTGTTTATTGACCTTGAAGGAAAAGTTCAGCTAAAAGTTACATTCACATAGTTTTGCCCTTAGGCTGGATGTAGATGACCAGCCAAGACAAATTTGCTTCTTCAGTTTTGGTGCTGGAGCTGTAATGGAATACAAGTAATGGAATGGCCCACCTGACGTTGGCTGGCAACCAGTGTAGACGATGGGCCTGACATTGGCTATATCCAGTGGCGTTGGCCTAATGTGGGCTGGCAGCCAATGTTAGACGATGGGCCTATGTTGGCCTGATGTGGGCTGGCAACCAGTGTTAGCCGGTAGGCCTACGTTGGCCTGATGTGGGCTGGTAACCAGTGTTAGACGGTGGGCCTATATTGGCCTGGTGTTGGCTGGAAACCAGTGTTAGACGGTGGGCCTATGTTGGCCTGACGTTGGCCTGAGATGAGGGCTTGGAAAGTCCACATTGTTCAGCTATAAGTTGGCTTGTTCCAGCCAACATAAACCTTCAGAAAATCAAAATACAGTTTAATTAACAAAATAGTTGAGTGGCATAAAATGATCAAAAAAGACAGCTAAATAGCACTTCTGACCGTTCCAGCTGTCTCCTCAAGCAGGTGAATGATGTAGTAGAACTATAACCACAAGTTACCAGAGGTCAGTTCTTGCTTTTGTGAGTGCTTTGGAAAGTCTTCAGGATGCTGTGAAGGACATTTACTTCTTCACTGTTTGCTTAATCCATGCAGTTGCCAAGTGAATGTGGTTGCATAAACCTGTACAAAAAACATACTTCATTATTTATGAAAGTTTTTTTGTAGGAACTCATTTACTCATTTCTTTATGTCAGTGTCAGAGCGTCGAGAAATGCACACGCTCATCAATTATCAGCTTCGCTTCGCTCATATTAAACTTGCATTACACTTACATAACTTACATTAGCTGACGCATCACCAAACATACAGATTCAGCACTAAAACCGGTTCACTCACTTTTCACTAACGATTAAAGGTTTGTTCCCTTTCATTTTTTACATTTTTATTTCCTCGTCCAGATGCTGAGCTGGTTGGGATATTTATGATGATGTGTTATGAAGGCACTGCACAGATTTTTGCGTTGAACTTTGAACTTACAAACTGAATGAATATGAATGCGTGTCCGAGTGCGTTCAGCTGTTTTAGTGACTGACCTGCTCCTCCTCCTGCTCCTTGTGGCTGAAGTTCAGCGGTTTCACTCAGCTGGATTTTCTTTTCACAGGGCTCTCCAGGTTTGAAAGGAAATGAAGGACCACCAGGCCCACCTGGACCTGCTGTGAGTGAACACAAACTTTTGTTCTTTTCTCTCTCTGTCTCTTTCTCGGCCTCTGGAGCCTCTGTTTTATTCACTGTCTTCTTTCCTGTTTCCTTTTCTGTCCTCTGCTCTACCCTGGGGCCTTACAGTAAGTATACACATACAGGTTTGTCAGTCTCTCACTCACTGTTTCTGTTTCTCTACCTCTCTCGCCCATATCTCCATAACTAGATTTTTAACGAATGACGTAAAGTAAGGATGAGCGGACTTATGTAATCGATGCTTCACACTCAGCACATGTGCCCCGTTCAATAAGCTCTCAGCATGCTGAGTAGCTTTCCTCAGGGTGCTGCCGCTCCCGAGAATTAATGCTGATTACTTTAATCTAGATCAATCAAACTGAGCCGACATGCAGGTTTTAACTACGTGCGAGTTTTCAACAAATCGATGAAGTCTAGATTTGCCTTATTTCATTTTTGTAACGTTATTGATTATTTCTTTTCCGTCAGGGTTCACCCGGTGAGCGTGGTCCAGCGGGTCCCGCAGGCCCCACCGGTCTTCCAGGACGTCCAGGACCTCAGGGACCCCCAGGCCCAGCCGGAGAGAAAGGTGGACCGGTGAGTTCTGCCCCATTTTCTGTTTCGTTTGGCACTGGGGTTCCCCAACACTGCACAGTTTGGTTCTTTCCCCGCTCCACATGTGCCTGATTAAATTCATTAACTAAATTATGCAGTCAATCAGAAACAGGATGTTCTACGTAAAATTCAAGTGCACATTTCCTTGTTAATTTGCTGCTCTTTTTCATTGGCCTGTATCGTCTGGCTGGCTGCAGTGCTCTCCTGAACATCTTGAAGCATTCTTTGGATGCAATACAAAAACATCTTGCTGCTTTTAGTGAGATGCTTTTGCGTTATATTGATTAAATGTCATCCACTAGACAAAACACTGTTCATTAAACTTCATTTAACACAAGCTAGAATCTACTGCCCACATCTTTCATGAGTACAGTTTGAATTAAACTTTAGTCCAGCCTGAAATTTTAATCCAAACCTGAATTCAGCTTGACAAATTCAGTCTAAACCAACTACCACCCAACAAAGTCCAAATAAAGCTCTCAAAGCTCTCAACGTCCACTGATTTCTCACATTTCTGCATAATTAAATGGTTAAGATGCAAACAAAGCTAGTGGTTTGGTGTGAAATGCTCCATTACACAGTGAGAATTGTGATAGGAACCAGACGTCCACCTCAAAAATAAAAGTTATTACATGAAATGGTTATGAATTCACTGCCTGAGACGTTGAGTGCGTTTACATGCACTGAATAATCAGATAACTGCAGAAAATCAGGTTTTGTCAGTAATCTGATCAAAGTGTCTACATGCGCTCGAGTAATCAGATAATGGGGAAACTCTGGGTCTACATGAGCCAGACAGTAATCAGATTTCTGCTCTACAACCAGCCAATAAACTCACAGAAGCAGACGAGACGTAAATGTAATGTAAAACTCAAACTTCATGCCGCGGCATTTTTTTAAAACATTTTACCTGAAAATATGAACATACATAATCTAAAGAATCGCTTATTTCCAGTACCGCCGTCTGTTTTCCACCATGTGCAGACTGAGAAATCCAAAAGAAATCAGAGTAAGAGTTTACATGCACTGAGAAATCTGATTACTGAGCTAAAATCCAGCCTCTTTATCTGATTTCTAAACCTTACTTTGAGAGTGTGCTGTTTACACGACCATTTGAATGATCAGCTAAACTGCAGAAATCCGGTTATGTTCGGATTATTGAGTGCATGTAAACACACTCATTGTTCCAATATGATAGTATTGAGAAGGTAAATATATTAATACATTTTTTAAGGGCATTGTAAGGCAAAACAGTCTCAAAGTGATACGACTTTTTTTTTATTATTCACCGATGTTTTACATCATCAGCATTGCATATAAAAAGTCAGTGAGACACTTGTGGGTTGACGGATGGTTTTGCATCCCATCACCACCACCGTAAAGAAAATCCAAGCCAGCAGAAATGAGCGTTTCACATCAGAACAGTCAGAATCACTTTGTCTACATCCCAACGACAGAATTATGCTTTGGAATTATAACATTTGGTGGAATGCCTTCCAACTACATCTTAAAAGCTTTTAGGCTGGAAAAAGAGACCTGCCTACAGAGTGCCAGATTAAAAATGGTCTTAAAGCTCTAAAAGTAAAGAGAGAATAAAGTAAAAGCAGGATGGAGAAACACAACAAATACTTGAGGAGTGATGTCTGAACGTCTGTACCTGTCTTGCATCACACCTCCCTCTCCATCTCTTTCTCGTTCCTCAGGGAGAAAAAGGACCTCAAGGCCCTGCCGGTAGAGACGGTATTCAGGGTCCCGTTGGCCTGCCTGGACCTGCCGGCCCTGTCGGACCTCCAGGAGAAGACGGAGATAAGGTAAAAAAACACATTACATTTAGGATTGCAGCGCTCAGAGAAATGAGCTGAGCTCAAGGTTTTGCGGACGATGTAAGAAGAGCGATAGATGAATATTAGAGGAGTGGAGGGAATAAAGGATGTCAAATCTTAGGAGGAGAGAAGGAAAGGCAGAAGAGAAGAGTGAATATGTAAAACATAGGAGAACGAGAGAGAACCGAGGAAAAAAGATCTTGTAGTTGGGGTTGTGAAGAAGAAGAACAGGGATTAGTGGGTGGGTGGTCAAGATTACTGGGTGCCCCCGGTATTTAGCAGTATTTATTTACTAGGGTGCAAAATTTAATACTGTCATGATTAATTGAATTACTAATTTACATAAATACAGAGCATCAAGAAAGTACTCATTTCATTCAGTAGTAAATTTGAGGACGCAAGTAGTCAGTCTTAGCATCTATGAGCCGATCTAGACTGTCTAAAGTTCTTTCCCTATACATGTAACTATGTTATAACAAATAGGTTTGAGGGGAGGAGCATGGCTGAAACCCCTCCTTCTTCCAATCTAACGCCCTGTAAATTTACACCCTCGCTTTCCGTTCCCGTGGCAAATTGTTTGTAATCCCCACCGCCACCCTGTCTCGTCCCTGTTCCTCAGTCCTACATCAGTCCTACTACAGCTATAAGGGGGGTCTGGCCTTCTAGCTACAGGCAGAAGCTGCCCAGAACTCCAGCCCAAGTTCTCAGAGATCCCTCCCCTCCCTCAATCAATCTTCCCTCATACTGCCACCGCCATGTTGAAGGCACAGTCTGAACTCACAAAATGTTATTAATGTCAGTGCTTCTCGATTAGTCTGTAATCCACTGAGGTCAGTAAATGTGGAAGTTCTCATCTAAAACAACAGCTAGAAGCTTCTACAATCGGATCACATGACCGGTGGGTCATTGTAGAGCTGGAGTGAGTTTCATCCATATAAAGTTGACGAGTGTTTAGTGGAGACGCTTGGCTAATTTTAGAGGGCAGCAGGTGATGTAGAGTCATGCAGTGTGTACAGGGTCGTGACTATAAGAGCTCGTAGGTGGAATGTGAGAGTGTGAGAGACTCAGGCCTCACCTGCGTGGATGTAAAGTGTGCATTTGTATAAACAGCCCTCTCAGAGGGAGAGAGAGAGAGAGAGAGAGAGAGAGAGAGAGAGAGCTGCGATAAAGTATACCTGACATTAGTGGGAATGAAAGCCAACATCCATCTTCTGTCTGTCTCTCTGAATCTCAATGGGCCCCTTGTGCGCTGAAGAGAATGCATCAAGGAGATGAGATTATAGCAGCTGACGCGCACTACAGTCCCCGCGTGCGCTCCCGAGGGTGCATACGCGTGCCTGCACATGCGCCTGCGTGGGACGTAGCATGCATAAATATGCACTCGAGTGTGGGGCGACGTTAAGGAGGCGTGAGAGTGATCTGGGTGTGAACTGTGAGTCAGGTGCGACAGGTGCAGTGCCTGTTGGGAAGCACAGTCAGAAAACAGGAAGAATAGCAGTGGTCAGTACAGTGACTCAGGGAATCTCTTACTGTATATGTCGTCCTCCCTCCACGTGTGCACTAGGGGTATACGAGTACTCGGTTAACAGTGCGAGGTACCACTGTCTAAATACTTCTGAGTATATTTTATTACACTTAGCTAGTAACACCTTAACATGACAGTGTCGTCATGACTGCTAAGACAAGCCTCAGTATTGTGTACATATCCAGTGCTATTAAAATATGTAGTGCAAACTAAGCAAATCACATGTTTGCTCTCTCTTGCCCACCGAGTGAGGAACAGCAGACTAAATTCCTGATTTAACTCATGTCCAACTTTAGCTAGAACGTGATATCACCCAAGAGGACAACTTCTTAGGTCGACTTATTTTCCGAGTCAAGTGCAACAACTGATGTAGAGCAGTTTTGCCTGTTTGTCTGTATTTGTTTTAATAGTAAAACACTTTCAGTGGCATTTCTTGTAGATTTTTGTAACCACTGATGTAGAGGCTAATCAAAATGGCTAAGATGTTCGGCTTCCATGCAGTCTGGTCAGGTCTGAGTTTTTTTAGTCTTTAAACCAGAAAATCTCATTCTCCTACTGCGGCATCACCAGAGGCGAGTAGGCATGTTAATTTTGGCCAAAGCATTCCTTTAAACGGATATCCAAATATTAATTTTATGACCGATTAGACTCATTCCCACTTCTGACACCAGTGTTGCAAAGGCCAATGTTGCAATAAATGATTGTCAGATGATATGCATTAGTGCAGCCCTAATCATTCCTTGTTAGTGTTATAGGAAGAGGTTAGCGTGTTCAGGGTTTGTTTACATTTTCAGTACTGTAAATGCTATTTTAACATTATCTGAACATTATTTCACAGGGTGAGATTGGCGAGCCTGGCCAGAAGGGAAGCAAAGGAGATAAAGGAGAGCAAGTGAGTCACTCCCACAATTTATTCATTTTACTCACATTTCTATTTCTGTTTATTTTTGTTTGTATGTGTTTTTTTTTTCACAACTCCCCTGATGATGCTTACTTCTCAGTTTCACTAGGATTGCAGTTATGAATATGAATATAAATGTATGTGTTGCTCTACTGGATGCCCTCGAGTCTTTGTTATAAAAGGCACTGACTAAACAGCTTTGTTTTCTTATCATGCTCCCACGCTCCCCTCCCTCCCTCCATCTTTCTCTGACTTGTTTTTAGGGTCCTCCTGGCCCCACTGGTCCCCAAGGCCCCGTTGGTCAGCCTGGTCCTGCTGTGAGTATTTTCATGTCAGACCATTTATGTTACCATACATTTTATTTTTTTTATTTTTTACAGAATTTGAAATATGACAGTAAGCGTTAGCACACCGGAGCGCCGCAGCACATTAGAGGGCATTTCGGAATGAGGCACCTCAGACTGATGTGTTTGGAATGAGGCACTCAGGAATGATGGATTGTAGAATTGAGGCACTTTGGAATGATGTGTTTTAGATTGAAGCACTCAGGAGTACTGGATTTTAGATTTGAGGCATTTTGGAATAATGCATTTTAGAGTATACCATTCTGGAATGATGGATTTCAAGATGAATTATTTTTGAGAATTAGGGTCTTTGGAATGTTGTATTTTCGAATTATGAACTCAAGAGTAATGCCTTTTAGAAAAAGGCACTTTGGAAAGATGAGTTTTAGTTTGAGGCACTTTGGAATGATGCATTTTAGAATGAGCTTCTTTGGAATAATGTGTTTTAAGTTGAGGTAATTAGGAATGATGCATTTTACAATGAGGCACTCTCTCTGTCTTTCCCTCGGTAGGGAGCTGATGGAGAGCCTGGTCCTAGAGGGCAGCAGGGTTTGTTTGGACAGAAGGGAGATGAGGGAGCTCGAGGGTTCCCCGGACCACCCGGACCTGTCGGCCTTCAGGTGAATGCCATGACATCACAGTTCATGAGAGTTTTCTAAACTTTAAGTAGTGTTTTTAATTCAGCTAACTCTCATTGGTTCTGAGCGATGCATGATTTGTGATGTCACACAGGGCTTGCCTGGACCCCCTGGTGAGAAAGGAGAGACTGGAGACGTCGGTCACATGGTGAGAAAAGACACCTGCATTTTTTGACTGTGTAACCATTAATAGCGTACAATAGTAAACATGCCCATTAAAATCTTTCTCTCTTTTGCTCTCAGGGTCCACCTGGTCCTCCTGGTCCCAGAGGCCCTGCCGGACCCCCAGGTGCTGATGGACCCCAGGGTCCCCCAGGAGGCATTGGAAACCCTGGATCAGTGGGAGAGAAGGTGAGTTGAGCCAACTTCAGTGAGCCAACTTCAGTAGCCCAATCAGGGTTTCCAATTGCAGAGATGGAGAGTAACAGTGTAGAAATACTTCTGTACACAAGTGTTTGGTGCTCTAGAGTATTGGTGCTTTGTACTTTTATACATAATCTACTTGTAAACTCCACTACATGTGGCCAATTTACTAGAAACACCTTGCTGGTGTGCAGTTAGGGACTGTAGTCCATGCACAGTTTGTGTAAGTTGTCCTCTGGCCTTTCCCCGATGGTCAGGTTCTGATTACAGAGTTACTTTTGGCTGCATATTTTTGCCTGGTGGACCACCATCTGTCTTGCAGTGACATCGACATGTGTAAAAGCACCATGCACACTATCATGTGGGTGTCACTGTCACTGATCCACTCAGATCAGCGCAACACACTATAATTTACTTAAGATTTTTATGTAAAGATGCCCACTGAAGCTTATATAAACAGAAAATAATCACATTTTTGTATCACAGTCGCAAAACTTTTCTGAGAAATTGCAATTTTTCCCAAATCGTTGGCTCAGAGAAAATGCATGAAACTGTTTCTTGGGTATATTACATGTGAATTAACTCTAGACTGGACTGATTAGTGTAGACATATCAAAGAAAGTGTTTGCAGTGAGTGTATGTCACACACAACGTCACACTACGCCTTTGTTTGTCTCGACACTTTCCGAAGCTTTTATCTTCTAATGTGTTTGGCTGCCATTCCTCTGAGGCGTGATGTTGTTCTGTCAGACGCTCCGGAACTCACAATCCACCACTAATGTTTCTGTGTGACCTTCAAAATAAAAACCAATCAGCCGCAGTTTGACACCCACTTCATCTTTTTCCGCGCTTGTTTATTTTCTTTGAAAACCGCTTTCAAAGGTTTGAAGTTTGACATCGACTGTGCGAAAAAGCCCGTCTTTATTAATGGTCTTAAGTATTCTAAGCCTTCATATTAAATACGCAGATCAAAACGCTCGCTGGATTGGGCTTGTTTGTCTCCCTTAGCTGGATATTTAAGTAATTGGGCAATTTATTTATTATTTATTATTTAACAGTTTCAAGTGAAATACTGTTGAAGGGCTGAAAAGTGAAAAAAGACAACCTTGCAGGAAGTGATACATGGAAAGAGAATATTTCCCAGCTCCACTCTAGCAAAGTGGTCCTGTGGGGCACTGACCACATAAAACCACTGGGATTAGAAATCACTTTCAAGAGTTTTTGATTTTTCCTTAATATATATTGTCAGGAGTGGGCACATACAATAAATATCAATACTGTATTTTATATGTGTATTACATATATGTTTGAAGAAGACGACCACTGAACTGTATATATCGCTGTTGTCAAGGTTTTCTTCTGACAAGCGATATAGAATATATGTATGTGTGTGTGTGTGTGTGTGTGTGTGTGTGTGTACACTATGTATATAAATATATAAATTTGTCTAAATAAATTAATTCGTTTCAAATGTGTGTACGTATGTATCGCTGCTGTCGAAGTAAGACCTCATATCTAAAAAAGATCACTTTCGAAGAGAAGGAAAAAACCTACTTTACTTTTGATGTGATTTTTAATGTAAGTCAGTGGAAACAGATGTCTTTCCAAGTTATTGTCAAAAACTGAAAAACAACAAGATACAAGGTTTTCTTTCGAAAACAGCGATATATACATATATAGTACAAAGAAGAGCTTTGATGAGCACTGAATTTGAAAATAATCACAATTTGAATTCGAACTATTGCAATTACATGTATGTCTAGTAAAATCAAGCCTGTGGATTGTGTTGTGTTGTCGTGTGAGGGCGTAGGATCACAGTCGATGGTGCGTTCGCTGTGTGTGAACAGAGCCTCAGACGCGCAGGATCAGCAGAGCTTTAGTTCTGTTCTGTCTCTTTGGCTGATGTTAATATTTGATGCAGAGATTTAACAGTCGCTCTGTCTCAGTGAGCGCAGAGTCAGTTTCGCTCTCTCCCTCAGAGCACTCCTACAAATACATCTCCCCTTCATCTCACTCACACACACACACACACACAGCGGAGCCAGGAAGCACAGTGTCAGCAGCCAGCCAGTTTCTCTCAGATAAGCAGTGATGATGATGATAATGAGGACGTTTATCATTCTCTCCGTGTGCAGTGATGCTCCCCAGTACCTGCAGCTGTTTATTAGTGGAATTAGTGATGATGTTCACTGTCATTAATGCAGCGCCATTCTCTGCTAGTTCGCCTGGTTAGTAACAAATGATCCTCCTCCATTCAGGCTTATATATGAAAGCTAATTGGCAATTTTTGAAAATGTCTCTCACTGTCTCCCTCTCATTCTACATCTCTGTCTCTCTCTATACGATTCTCTCTCTCTCTCTCTGTAGGTAAACAGCAGCTGTGAGTGGGTTTGTGTTCTGGCTATCAGTTCGGTCTGTGCGCTGATGGAGACACGGCTCTCCTCTTTAGTCTATAAAAACTCAGCAGGTCAGAGAAGAGGAAGAAGTTAGAAGAGGGAAAGGGAAGAGAGAGAGTACGTGAGGAAGTGAGAGAGAAAGTGAGTTGTTAGAAAGAGAGAGAGAGAGAGAGAGAGAGAGGGAGGAAGAGAGCAGGCTTTTCTGCCACAGTCTACTTGATGTTAGCAGGTGGCTGGTCTCAGTGGAGGATGCTTTGATTGACAGCTGTGACAGTGAGCCGCGTGGGTGCTCTTTATGTAAGCGTAAGCAGAGCGTTAAAGAGCCCATATCACGGGAAAACGTATCTCACGCAATTTCTAAATAAGAGTTTAATACAGGATGTAAACATTTTTAAAGTTTCAAAACATACATCACTGCTCAGTCTATACAGTCTGTACAGTCCATACAGTCTGTACAGTCTATATGTCTATACAGTCCATACAGTCTGTATAGTCCATACAGTCTGTATAGTCAGTAGAGCCTGTACTGTCCATACAGTCTGTACAGTCCATACAGTCTTTATAGTCTATATGTCTATACAGTCCATACAGTCTGTATAGTCCATACAATCTGTATAGTCAATAGAGCCTGTACTGTCTATACAGTCTGTGCAGTCCATACAGTCTTTACAGTCTATATGTCTATACAGTCCATACAGTCTGTATAGTCCATAGAGCCTGTACTGTCTATACAGTCTGTAAAGTCCATACATCTATACAGTCTGTACCGTCCATACAGTCTGTATAATCCATAGTCTGTACAGTCCATACAGTCTTTACGGTCTATACAGTCTTTACAGTCCATGCAGTCTATACCGTTAATACAGTCTGTACACTCCATGTAGTCTATACTGTCCATACAGTCCGTACAGTCCATACGTCCATATAGTCTATACAGTCTGTACAGTCCATATGTGCATATAGTCTATACATACTACGATTAGCATGTTTGAATTACTGCAACTTTACAGCAGAATAACAGCTACATCACATCCATGCTTTACGAAGGCTGCTGCTCTTCTCCTGATGCTGTGACAGTGAACAGGGATGACTTTGGCTGTCAGAATGTGTATGTGGGGGGGGTGATGTTCATGCAAGGGTCAGCATAGTGCATATATAGACCCCTTCCCTCACAGTGTGATAGATGAGCTCTTGATGTCTCCTCATCCACCTCAGCTAGAGGAATGGACAGGACTCTCCTCTCTTAGCTTTGTCCACACAAAAACATGCTGCCTAGCACTGCATTTACTGACCCCGCTGTCCTTCTCTCTGTCTACAGGGAGACGCCGGAGAACCAGGAGAGCCCGGACTGCAGGGAGACGTCGGCCCTCCGGTATGACACCACACATACTTATACAAAAACAAATACAACGTGGATAAAATACAGTAAGATTTAAACGCCAGAAAGGCACTGATGCTGTATACAGTACTGTGACCATCATTTATTTATTTAATTTCCAAACAAAACAGCTCTTAAGAACAAGTTATTTTACTCAATGCATTATGTCAGTATCAGCGCATTTCAGGAGACTTCCAAAGTGTATATTTATACATACACGTTAGAATAAATATACACATTAATATACATCAGTATGTATGTACTGTTGGGATTAATATTACTGTTTATTTTAATAAATTAATTAAATGAATTCATTTGTGTCAGAATCGCTACCTGCTCAAAAAGTTTACCTACAGCCCGGAGATCCATCACCAAGACTTTATAATGTTGCCTTCACTTTCTGTGTATGTAATACAACTATGATATTATCGTCATGATGATTTTGTGTGTCCATGTTAGGGTCCGAGAGGAGAGCGAGGAGAGAAGGGAGAAGCCGGTCCTGCAGGTTCTGCTGGTCCCCCAGGTCCTAAAGGCCCTCCTGGTGATGATGGTCCTAAAGGCAGCCCTGTGAGTCGTCCTTAGATTTATTTATTTATTTATTTTTGGACTTTTACCCAGTTTATTTCATGTAATAGTTTGAATTAACTGTCAAAGCTGCTAGTATTAAACTTATTATTCAGTACTACAAATTACTCAGTAGCTAATGTGAGACTACTGTGTAAGCTAATATGTACATCTATCCTCAAGTGAAATGTATTGATTTGTTTTTCAGGGTCCGAGTGGTTTCCCTGGTGATCCTGGTCCTCCTGGAGAGCCTGGTCAGCCTGTAAGTCCTGTTATAATGTTATTAACTCCTTATGTGTTATTACACGCCAGTAACAGTCCTGTTATGCACCATGATTCTTATTTTCAGTATTAATTTAGCTTTTATTTACTATTTACACAACACGTGCTCTACAAATAAATGCATTAATATTTCATTTTCTTCTCGCAGGGCTTGGATGGGCCTCCTGGTGACAAGGGCGATGACGGAGAAGCTGGTCAGCCTGTGAGTTCGCCTGTCAATCATCTGTTTGTACAGCAACCTTTTACAGTGAATGTTTATGAATTGTGTATGCTGTTGCTTTTTATTTACTCATTGTAATTTGTTTGTGGCAGGGTTCTCCAGGACCCACTGGTGAATCTGGTCCAACTGGCCCTCCAGGAAAGAGAGTGAGTTGTGCTGTGTTTCTGTACACTCTGGTCTTTTATGCTTGGGATAGATACACCACCAGTGGTGTTATTCTCTCTCACTCTCTCTTTCATCTGTTTCTCTGTTTAGGGTCCTCCTGGAGCAGCGGGACCCGAAGGACGGCAGGGAGAGAAAGGAGCCAAGGTAAAGACCCAACACTGACTCACTCTCCAAACCTCAGGCACAGTTCTGTTTCTGACTTGAAGCCCGACCGTGCATTGAAAATCTGTTTGTGTATTTGTTTATGTGGCTCTGCGGGTTTATGTGTTTGTATGAACTGGAGACTTGTGTGTAGCGTGTTTGTTTTTCTATGTGCATCTGCATGCTGTCTTGTTGCTAGACCAACCTATATAGAGTCACTGATTGACTGACTGACTGACTGATGCTCTTTGTTGGACAAGCAACAGGTGGTGCTGTACACGGTTAAATATCACCCTTATAACCTCCCAACGCTACCAGGCTCACAAACAATGGCAGTAGAAATGCATTCACTGAGGCTCATCATGGGTCACCAAATCACAAAAACCTGAGTCTCTGTGTCTCTATTTCAGGGTGAGTCCGGTCTGGAGGGCCCTCCGGGTAAAACAGGTCCAGTTGGACCCCAGGGCGCTCCTGGAAAGCCTGGTTCTGAAGGACTGAGAGGAATCCCCGGCCCAGTGGTGAGTTGTGACACGTCCCACATGCACCGATCACGTAAACATATTGCCACTGTGCGAAAACTAAACATAAAAAGCAAGGCAGAATAAAAGTCTTTTGTTGTGCTATTGTATTGCAGGTATTGTAGAACAATGTGGTGTATATTTTCTATTTAATAAATTATTTAATGGAAAAAAGTCCTGCAAATTTAGGGAAAAGCCACCCACATTTACGAGTTACAGACTGAAAGCTGGCTTTAAGCTGCTGTTCTCTGCAGAGATTGAGTGTAAAGCTCTGTGAGTTCACTCTTCTCTCTCTGGGAGCTGATTTGGGGTTCTGCTGTGTTTCTCTTTCAGGGAGAACAAGGTCTGCCTGGTTCCCCAGGACCCGATGGACCCCCAGGACCAATGGTACCCTGAAAAAACTCCACCCCTTTTCATACATGACTACATTACTGCTGCAGAGAGTGCCCAGACTCTTATCTCTCTCTCTCTCTCTCTCTCTCTCTTTCTCTCTCTCTCTCTCTCAGGGCCCTCCTGGTCTGCCTGGTCTAAAAGGGGACTCTGGAGTTAAAGGAGAAAAGGTGAACACCGATTATGGACAAACACATTTGTCAGCGCTAAAACAGATAATTGTTGATTACCTGAACGGAGCTGAATGTAAATCAATATGTGTATTGATGTGTGCATTGATTGTCGATTGACTGTATTGATCGCGTGTCTCAGGGCCACCCGGGTTTGATTGGTTTGATCGGACCTCCTGGAGAGCAGGGAGAGAAGGGAGACAGAGGCCTGCCCGGACCCCAGGGATCTTCCGGACCTAAAGGAGACACGGTACGATAAAATACAGGGCGTAAAAATGTGCTGATGTATCAATGTAAAGGTGGTGATTCAGTCGATTTTGGAACAAATCTAATCGATTGTTAAGATGTTCAATACGGTAAATGCTTTTTTTGGCCGAAATGTTCTTTGTTAACATCCAAAGAAAAGCTTGGTGTATTGTTTTTATTGCCTGTTCCACCTTTGCACAAACAGTTCAGTGTATTTTTTTAAGAAATTATTCTGAATCATATCAAAAGAATCAAGAACTGAATCGTGATGAACTGTGAGACGAATCATTTCCGAAAGAATCACAATTAAATCAAACTATTATGAGGTCAGAGAATAATGACCACTCTTAGCAAAAAGGGTTCCATATGGTACCAGAAAGGCGTTACTATAACTTTATTTGTGCTGCGTAGAACCATTTTGCAAAAGATTCCTTAAGGAATCATATAAAACAGGTTGTCTGTCATGCAAGGAACCCTTGAGGAACCATATTTTAAAGAGTGTACCCCTCTTTTGGTCTGTCTCTACAGGGTATTACTGGCCCTTCCGGACCCATGGGACCCATTGGACCACCTGGATTACCCGTACGCTTTTATCAATGACCTAATTAACTAATTAATTAATTTACTGAAATTGACATTCAGACATTAAACTGGCCTGTCTGTTTCCTCTTATACAGGGTCCTCCTGGTCCTAAAGGAGCTAAAGGATCATCAGTAAGTTTTCTGTCTCTGTTATAAAACACACTGTACATTAATATTTAACATTACAACTGTATGATTCATTAGCTCAAGTGTTCAAACTCCATCTCTCTCTCTCTCTCTCTCTCTCTCTCTCTCGCTCTGTAGGGTCAGACAGGACCAAAGGGAGAGTCTGGAATCCCTGGACCTCCGGGTCCACCGGTCAGTCCCACACCGCCACTAAAACAAGCCACCAACTGGCCGCATGTGTTTCTGGGAGATTGTTACAACATTACATCTCTCAATATTCATGCATGATAAAAATATCTAATTATAGGAATCAGATATTTACAGTTTCCCCTTTAACACAGTGGTAGCTAATCATCCAAGACATGTCTTCCTTAGTTTCCCCTGGAGCTGCAGTTAAATGATGGAAAATTATACCCCAATTAGCATGGTGCTAACTGCACGCTCGCCTCAAAGTGTGTGGAGTTTTTCAGTATCTCTAATAGACTTGATTACGTGGGTTACTGACACTGTTATCTTGGACTAAAGTGTATCACATACATGCAAAAAAAAGACAAAAAAACATAGCAGCCATCTTCAGGCCTGAATTTCTGAGTGTCTGTAGGGTATTTTGTGTTTTGCTGAATAATTTTGAGCTAAATTAGACCAGACCAGCTTTCCAACCTAAATATGCCATAATATATTCTGAACAAATAGAAGCTGAACAAATTTCCGTTTTGACCAAAATACAGCAGAAAATAACTTTTAATAACTGTAATATATTTTATTCATATGACATCTGTCGTGGATTTTTCCTTGCTGTTTTGATTAAAACTACCCCCCCTCACATGTGGAGCACTCACTGTGAGATATCTGCTTCTAAGTGGGGCTACAGACACCAAGACGAGATAATAAAATAACAGAATTCTGTCAACTCACTAATCAAAAACACTGGTAAAAGTTACTTTTATGGTGTAAAACGTTTTTTTATGATATAGAAAGTTTTACACTTTTATGGTAGAAGTTATTTCTACAATGAAACAAGCTGCTTTTAATGGTATAAAAAAGTTGTGAATATGGAAAAAATATTTGTTTAATTGTTGTGAATATTTGCAAGTTTTGTTGCTATGGGAACACAAGATGATATAATGTGTATCACATTCTACCAGAACCTGATTAACAGCATTAAATATCCATGTTGCATTGCCCACTTTTGTTTGTGTTGATAAATGAATGTATAATACTGTACAGAATCACATAAGCACGTCTATTAGGGGATTACATCATTTTCATAGAGTTTTACATAAATTGCTTTATTCTGATTGGGGCAATTTACCCACTCCCACCTCCACGCCCTTGCAGGGCCCACCAGGTGATGTCATCCACCCACTGCCGATCCAGTCGAGCCCGAAGCGGGCAAAGAGGAACATCGATGCCAGCCAGCTGATGGACGATGCGGCTGATGGAAACTACAAGGACTACGAGGATGGCATGGAGGAGATCTTCGGTTCTCTGAACTCTCTCAAACTGGAGATCGAGCAGATGAAGCACCCGCTCGGCACGCAGAGCAACCCCGCCCGCACCTGCAAAGACCTGCAGCTCTGCCACCCCGACTTCCCTGATGGTGGGTGGACGTACACTGCCTGTCCAGTTTTGGGGGCCAGATTTTGCGCCTCTCTTCTTTTTAAATTTGAATGTTCTCATTGTCACTTACTGTCTCATTGTCACAGTAAGGTACTTGAAAAAGGTTTTGTTAGCATAAAACAGCTGTGTGCAGGTGTTTTGTGTATATTTATCTTCAGCTTTCAACTTCCTGCCCATCAAAGTATCTTCTTTAATATGAAGAGCAGGCTTTGCCCAAAACGTCTTTGACAGTTTTTATTCCCAAACAAGGAATACATCACTAGAGTTCATGCATTACTGCTATTTTAACTAGTAAGTTGTGTTGTTAGGCACAAAGCGAAAGGGGTAAAATCACTGTAGCGCACAATAATCTTCCACCAAGAAAAAATTATGCTGTTGTTGCCAAGCAGCCACTGCTGAGGGAGGACAAAAACGTTCAGTCGACCCTAATGAACTTTTAAATTGTACACATATATATATATTTTTTGTCATATATACAGTCAGATGCAAAAATTCAGGCACCCCTGGTCAAACAGTGTAAAAACACTTCTGCTCATTTTAATGCACAATTTCAGTTTATTTAATGATTGTAATGAAGGTGTTTAACATAAAAACGTAAACGTAAAATATGGCCTGTGCAAAAGTTATGGCACATTTTATATTTATGTTTTTGCTTTTTTCAGTATGTTAAATTCAGCAAATAAACAGAAATTGTGCAGTAGATTATCAGAAAAAAATTTTAGGTGTGTTCTCTGTAGAGAATGTGTTAACTTATTTTCACTCAGAAAATCAAGTGTTTGACCATGGGTGTGGACAAGACAGGGGGTCCTGGGGGGACTGGGTCCCCCTAATTATGTCTCAAAATGTCTCAAAATCAAAATTCTGGGGGGGGTCCTTGAAAATAAACTCATGATATTATGCAAACTGACAAACTCTTTTCTGTAAAAAAAAATGGGAATGTAGGTGTGAAGGGTGATAAAAATATTGTTCAAAAGTTTCCGTGTTCTGCGTTTTTTTCCTAGGTGAATACTGGATTGATCCAAACCAGGGCTGCTCTCGAGACTCCTTCAAGGTTTACTGCAACTTCACAGCTGGAGGAGAAAGCTGCATCTTCCCTGACAAAAAGAGCGAAGGGGTGAGCATCCGCACGGCCCATATCCACAGAGTTACTCAGCACTGTTATTACCACACAGAGTGAACTGAACTGCAGAGCAGTCACTGTTAATGAAGTCGAATATTGTTGGTTATTGATTCAGACTGTGAGCCTCTGAGCTTGGATACTGTTCTAGTTCTGGCTACACTGACTTCCCTGGTGCTGTATTTGATTATCAGAAGTCACCACCAAAAATAGAGAAGTTCACAATACAAGCTACATGACACTTACACGAGCCCTTCATGAGAACTGACATCCTCTGTAAACATTAACAAAGGCCTCTTCCAACAAATGTCAGTCACCATAAACACTGCTGATCAAGCAAGTGTTATGGCAGCTGATGCTTGCTGGAGCAAAGCTTCATAAATGTCTGTACAAGTGCAGATGAAGGTGTTGAGCAATCCTATTAAAGCGGACAACGTTTCCACTACAGGTTTATATTTGAACAAGTGCAGGCAGTTTCATAAATATGAAATTTAAACATTTCCACAGGAGCTCATCCTGATGTGACGGAAGTGGTTGCTGGCTATTTTGCATAATTTATTAAGCAACAGTTAAAATATTTACAGTATAGTTTAGTTTGAGAGTGTTTAAGGTGAGCCAGCCTGTCTTAAGTGGAAATTTCTCTTTTGTCAAAACCTAATTTTACTTGCTTTTTGAAATAAACAGGTTTAAAGTATTAAATACACAGTTAAAATGGACACCAAGCTGTAGAAACAGCCTGTAATTGAATAAGTGGTTTTTGTGTCGTCACAAAGAAAACATTTACATACAGATGCCTGTTCGGCCTATAGCAGTTTAGCCCCGCCCACTCTCACAGAGGTTACAAGTTATAAAACCCGGACAACTTTTTGAATGAGAGCAGAGCTCATTTGCATATTTCAGTATTAAAGGTACAGTATAAAAGTACAGAGGTTGGAAAATGGTAATGTGAACATGAATTATGATTGTTTTTGGTAAATAAATCCACAAAAATTTCACAAGTGGACCTTACAGAAAAAATAAAATGCAAGAAAAATGTGGGATATTGGCCCTTTAGTAAAAATAATCTTTAATTTCACCAGTAGGGTTGAGTAATGATGATATTTTTCATTATTGTCATAAATGATGTCATATTACGTTAGAAAGCTTGTTCTGATCGTATCCTGCATATCGTCAATACTGCTCAACAATGACTGCTTAATACAGATTATTGTATTCATAGATTTAAATAGTATTGCTTTTAAATGGTTTTTGTCTTTTCCAGGATCCAACAAACCTCCAAAAAACTAAATATTTTGATATATTTTTGACGCATCTTCTAGTTTTTGTTATTTCCAAATAACATGGTATTTAATTTATTTATACTATTATTGGCAATATTTTTGATGATATCAATAAATCCACGATCAACAACATTGGTCGATATTATTATCAGCCAGCTGATATATCGGTCAAGCCTTAACGCATGTACAGTGTGCTTTAACTTCATAAGGCAATATATAATATTTATTTATTTATATATAAATCACACATTGAGATTCTAGGCCTTGTAGCCTGATTCCATTCAAGGCTCCCCATGACTAAGATACCCTACTGGTTAAAAGACGCTCAACAGGTGAGATCACAGAGCGAGGACGGAATAAAGGTGACCAGCCCAAAGGCTTCAGGCAGGAGCTTATTTTAAATATTTAATCAAAATCACAGTCATAACCAGTTCAGCGGTTTATCATATAATCAATTATTCTGTTTAATATCAATGCAGCATCTTATTACTGTTACACAAGTGCTTAGAAAGGCCGCCTTGGGCTGCCTGTCCTGCTCCGCATCATAATCAGCTCAGTGATGCGTTTGTCTGAACCTTCTCAACTCCTTCCTCTCCTGTGGTGTCTCTTTTGCTCTCCCTTCTTCGTTCTACGACTTCTTCTCCTTCTTTTTCTTCTTCACCTTCTCTTCTTCATTTTCTACTTCTTCTTTTTCTCCATCTTCGTCTTCTCCTTCTTCCCACTACTTCTATTCCTTCTTCTTGTTTCTACAAGTTCTTCTCCTCCTCCTTGTTGTTGTTGTCCTTCTTCTTCTTCCCCTTCTCCTCTTCCTCCTCCTCTTTCTTTTTCTTCTCCTCTTCTTGTTTCTTCTTCTCTTCCTCCTTCTCCTTCTTCTTCTTCTTCTCCTCCTCCTTATCCTTTCTCCTCCTCTTCCTCCTCCCTCTTCTTTGTCTACTTTTTCTTCTCTTACTTATCCTTTTTCTTCTTCTCTTCCTCCTTATCCTTCACCTCCTCCTTCTCTTCTTCCTTCTTCTTCTCCTCCTCTTTCTCCTCTTCCTGCTTCTTCTTCTTCCCCTCCTCCTCCTCTTTCTCCTCCTCCTCCTCTTCTTCCTTCTCCTTCTTCTGCTCCTCCTTATCTTTTTTCTCCTCCTCCTCTTTCTTCTTCTCCTCCTTCTTTTTCTTCTCCTTCTTCTTTCTACTATTTCTTTCTCCTTCTTTTTGTTTTTTTCTTCTTTTTTCTACTCTTCTCCTTCTTCTCATTGTTCTTTGTTCCTCTTCATCCTTCTCCTTCTTATTCTCCTTTTTATTCTTTTTTCTACTTCTTCTTCTGGTTCTCTTTCTTATCCTTCCTCTTCTTCTATTTCCATCTCTTTGTCTCCTGGATTTGGCCCTTTTGTTTGTTTAACCCTCTCTCTCTCCTGCTCTGGTGTCCCAGACTAGGCTAACCTCCTGGGTGAAGGAGAGTCCAGGCTCCTGGTACAGTGAATTCAAACGTGGTAAACTGGTAAGAGCACCTCCTCTGCACTCCTTACACATCCCTCCTCCTGAAGCACTCTCCTATTTTACAGAGCAAAATGGCTCGCTGGCCCAAAGACAGCCCAGGCACTTGGTATAGTCGCTACAAACGAGGGTCCATGGTAAGTAGCAAGGCATGAGACAGGATCCAAGAGAAAAGGCTTCGGTTCCGAGGTTCCTTTTCTGAGGTCTTGGGGTTCTGAGGTTCTGGTGTTCCTTAGTTCTGAGGTTCCACATTTATGTGGTTCCAAATATCTTACAACACTGTGCAAAAGTCTTAGCCATCCAAAAGAATTGTGTAAATATTATATAGCTGATAAACTCAGTAAAGTAACGTGAATTTGTGTTTTTAGGAAAGTTATTTAAATAATGTGAGCTGGTTAGAAGAACACAGGTTTGGCTCCTCTTCTCCTCAGTGCATCTCAGCCATTGTTCAATTCCACAGCACAAATTATTTAACTTAATAAAAGGTTTATTCCATGCCAACTCACCCCAGGCCATGTCATGGATTTAAAAGAAATAAAAGTATCTAAAATTTCAAAAGTGTAAAAATAATTCTTTAGTTATTAATTTAAGATTTAGCCAATCAGGTTCTAATTCACGTCTTAAATATTGAGCAGAATTGCTTACACAATGACTGGACTGAGCTGGATATCAATACAAATTTCTTGTTAAATCAAAAATATTTATGGTAACAAATTCCCACAACAGCTTCTTTTTTGTCAGTTTTATATTTGTACACAGTTCAAATTTAATCTCATGTCATATTCTGAGTTAAATTTAATATTAACTGTGCGAATTACCACCTGACTTTAAAAAATTCATAACTAAAAAAACTACTTGAAGCACAGTTTTGAAATTTTGCATGGTTGCAAAAATCACATAGAAGTTTTTTTCTGGATGTTTTATGAATATCCATGACGTGACCTGCCAAGTATATTAGCACGGAATAACCTAAGTACTTATTAACCCAACCAGATATTGGATGGTAACTAAATACTGTGCTACTCCATTGAGAGGTTTGGAAATAGTTAAGCTACCTCACTGATTCCGTATTAAATTTTATTTGTATTAGAATCTTAGTTTTTATAACTAAATAAAACACTTTTGCCCAGTTAATTACCTTTAAATATAATTAACATATTTTCTCAGGTGGCCTAAAGTGTTTGCACAGTTCTGTACGTTCTGAGGCACTGTAGTTCTGAAGTTCCTAAGACCTGAGGTTTTACGGCGCCCCGGTTCTGTGGCCTTATCTCCCGGAGGCCAGTGGTTCTGCATGGTTCTAGCTCTAAAGTGGATCACTTGGAGCACTTCTGGTTGTGGCTGAGCATGGTACTGCACGAGCTCCTCCATGGTAAAGCAGCAAAATGGTGACCGCTCAGGCTTTATGGTTCATCTGAGAGCAGAACTGTCAGTCAAACTGTTTCAGAGGCAAAAACAAAACAAATGATCAATAAACGGTGGTCAGTTTGGACAGTAGCTAATATGGATTATTCTGTGCACAGTGTACATTATAAGACTGAGGAACTGAGGTGTGAACCCTCATACGGGCCTTAAGGGATTAAGGGATTAATTCCTAAAATTTCTTTTCTATTCTCAGTAGGAAAATCCAAGCCTAGCGTTTGGCTCTCATGTCTCTGAAAGTGCTGAGGCACCGTGTAAAATATCCTCACTCTTGGGAAATCAGTGAACTGCCCTGGTCAGTAGTTTGCCTGTAGTTGAGTTTGACTGACAGCGTCTCGTTCTCAGCCTCAGTGAGCCGGAGAACGTCACCGGGAAGAGACTGAACTACTGAGCTTGAGCCTCAGGCAGCTCGTGAATGTGGAACGCTCTCTGAAACAGAGTGTCACTTCCGTCTCACGCGGCTTCCGGGTCCAGCCACTGCTGACATGCGCCTGTGAACGTGAGGTAATGTTTCCATGGCGACGGGCTGACACACGAGGCAGAAAAGTGGGTGGGGGTCAGGGGTTTGGGGTGGGCACACACATTCGCAGGACACTGACTGGACGATCTACTGGCTTATTATAAATATATATGAAAAGCTAAAATGCTAGTAAGATGTTAAAAACACCAATGACACAATAAACCACTAAGTTTTTAATGCATTTTCCTAGTTTGACCCTTCACCCTTCCATAGTAGTGCAGGCTGAAGCCCAGCTGCAGCGCGCTGTATGGCGCTCTTATAGAATCTGTAATTGTAGCGCTCACGTATAAATACAGCTTTTAAAGTGAAACCTTCAGCATCTTCAGCAAGCCACGCTGGACAGACGCTCACAGGAGAGCTGTGGATAAATCAACGAGCAGCAAACTAACAAATACAGCAGCTTGGTGGAGCTCTGGTTCTCCACGAATCCACAAGTTGTATGAACAAGAGGCTGCAATCACAGAGGAGTTGAACTATTTACTGTTGTTGTCAGAACAAAACCTCGTATCTCCAAAATGGTAACTTTACAGGAGAAGGAAAAAACCTACTTTACTTGTAATGTAAGTCAATGGAACCAGAGTTTTTTTAAAGTCATTTTGGGTCGTTTCATTTAGTCCATTCGTCATGAAATTTACGGACAATGTAAAGAAAAACAGGCATTTTCAGATTTTGTTAAAAACTGAACAACGTCAACAGTGGAGATACAAGGTTTTCTTCCGACAACAGCCTCATCGACTGTGTATATGATATATATGATATATACACTCATTAACTGTGTATATGATATGTGTGATATATACACTTATTGACTGCATATTTTATATAAATGATATGTGCACTCATTGACTGTGTATATGATATATATGGTATATACAAACACTAATTGTATATGTGATATACATACAAATTGACTGTTTGATATATATGATACATTCATCTGTTAAAACATGCAGACACTGCTGCTCTCACTGGAGATGAACATAGGAAACTGTGTTCACTCTGTGGAGATCACGTGATTTTTCATGTTCAGGTTCTGCTTTCCAAAAAGTGTTATTGACTTACTCAAAATAATAAATACATTTTGATAAAGGTTATTTTTTTTCCATAACAAAATGCACTGCTTTAGAAATTTGCTGAAATTTGAGCAAATAGGGCAAATACAATTAATTGTGACGAATTCCGCAAAATGCTGCTGTTATCGGAATTTTAATCATTAAATCATTTGACAGCCCTAGATTATGTGGACAGTGCTGTGCAAACATCAGAGGCCACCCTTCGTTCATTTAATTTACAGTTACCTTTAAGTACAAGTTGTTCAGTTCATTCGAAAAACAGCACTGAAAAATCGGATATTATCATGAGTTGCTGAATCTCTTGCGTCATTTTCTGCTTTTTCCTGATGCTGAAAAATAAACAACTTGTATTTAGTGGCTGTTTTGGCCAGAAATGAGTCCAGACGTCCAGTCCGTGCTTGCTTGTGTGTGTTATACAGTCTTGCATGTGCAGGGTCAGTGAATATGAGTGTGTGCTGACGTAAGTAAGTCCACGTAAGTATACTGTACCCGTGTGTGTGTGCATGGCATGTTTGCTGCATGCGCGTGGCTTCCACAGTCAGTCCTGTGTGTATGACGAAAAGGAGGAGATGGAGTTTTCTAAATCACATGGGTTGGTATGGAGAAAACAAACATTTGCATGTGTCCCACAATGCAAATGTTGCATCACACCAGAGAGAGCCCAGAAGAGCTAATCCTCATCTATTTGGCATTGTTGTTGTTGTTTGTTTACGCGGATTAAAGGCTCCTCAGTGAAGATTAGAAACATCTGAGCGGAAAATTCAGATTAAGAATGATGAATTTCTTCATTAAAGTAGCCCACGATACCCTTAATTTGAAAGAAGGCGGCCTGCTTGATGAAAGAACGGCTCCTGCTGGGGTTCAGTGATGCTTTCTATTTGTAAAGCTGTTTAGCTGATTCTTCAGTTTCCCAACACAAAGACAGACATTATTCTTGAAGGTTATGATGAAGAGTCCGAGGATATTGAAAGGCATTGGGTGTGTCCCAATATCTCGCTGCCATGCTCCTCACTGTCTGACTAGGCAGACAACAGTTTCACCAAAAAAGGAGCTTATAAAGTAGCAAGGTGCTCCAAGTCTTAGCAGGTTTTCTCTGTGGGAAAAATGAATGGCAGTTCCAGAAATCCCTGCTATCATCCCCTGTAAACTAAAATGTTCCAGAGCCGACATGGTCGGGTTTCCATGCAAACGCTTCGCAAATGTTATGCGTGTTTACAAAATTTCTACAAGAAAAAAGTTGTGTTTCCATCCATTACAGTTAAGTGAAGAAATAGAGACGCTGGGCAGGACAACCAATGGCCCACCTAATGAGGGCTGAAATCTCCATCTCACCCCGACGACCTTGCTTCTCGGAACGCAAACGCACCAGACAATTCTGGGAGTACATTATGCAGAGGCATTTTTCGGATTAGGCATTCCAGGATGTCAAAAGCAAACGAAAAGCTATAGCCCTCGATCCTTGTCATCGTTTAGTAAAAAAGCCCTTTTCCTTTTCACTGTTTTCTGCATTTCAGCTTTAGCAATATTTGAACTGTTTCCCCTCATCCTAGTATAAAACTCATTTTGTGATATTTGGGTGTTTTTATTTTTACTTCCAGGGTTTTTTTTTGCACATTTTCAAAATTCACAAAAAACTGGTGGATGGAAACCTGCCTATGTTTTGCCCTGAATGTCACCAGATCCTCTGAATTACAAGGTCATTAAGGAGTCAAAATGTCAAAATATGAATATTGCTACATGCTAGATAACACTAACACAGTGCACTGGCATTATAAGACTAGCAACCTCGATAGAATACCCCAAACAAATCAGCAAGCTTTGTGAAATGTGGTGATAAAACATGCTTTGGCTACAGTTTGAGTGGCTGGTGTTGGTTGAGTAGCCAGCGTTAGCTTGTTTGTAGCATGTATGTAGCAAATAGTCATAGTTTGAATGCTAAACAGCCTTAGAATTAGGAGGAATAATGTACTTAGGACAAAAATATTACGTTTGGAGTAATTCTGTTTACCACAAGGTGCAATAGCAGCAAAAACGCCATCCATTTTTCCCATTTTGATAACTAGCTAAGACCCATCGGTGTGTATTTTGGCATGACGTCGACTACAACGTCTGACTACCGACGTCTATCAACATGCTAAAGTTGGACCGTGAGTTAAAGCTACACCACCACTCAGTTCCTCCTCTGCAGCGTTTCATTTTTGAAGTCTGCTGGCTAACTGGCTAGCTAGCAACAAATCGCTAGAATTCTAGCTCTTTATTCAAGACTACTCAACATTGATTAGCTGATATTACCTGCCTAAAGCTGAGGTCACACCGAACTGCCACCTTGCTGTTTTCTTTGCCAGGGTGGAGCAAATATAGGCAAGTATCATGATACAGTGTGGTTTTGGAGGGAACGTACAGTTCAGTGAACAGCTAATGTTAGCCAGTGGCTCATTCTTACAAAGGTTGGTGAATTTGCGTGGTTAACGTTCACCTAGTTTTCAGCGTTAGCATGTCGTTTACATTTTAAGTGAATCAGCTTTTTCACCACGTATATTTTGCTCACGTTCGGTGGGACCGCAGCCTACAATTGCACAGCAGTCATTTTTAACAACACAGCATTAGCTAAATAAGCTAAAATGTTTGTTAGCTTGATAACCATTTTAAGACAACTGAAAACTGCAAACGCAGTAAAATGCGACACAAACAAATACATAAATACAATGAATTGTGTACTTTTGTGACCCCACATATTGATTTAAGTAGCCTTCTGGCATCTTGAACAAAAAAAATTCAGGTAAACCTTTTGTCAAACGTGTATTATGTGAGGAAATCTATGATGTTGCTTTCAAATTTGGCCAAAATAATCCAAAATACCTCAGTTAGCAGTATGATTATGCTGTCTAAGACTCAGGACAGCCTTTATATTTGCACACTTGATGGCTTGAATTGTATGTGTAGGCTGCACTGTACATACTGGGACTCAGAATATCTCAGAGCTGTAGTTTCAGTGTCGGCAAGCCTGTTATTTTCTGAACCCCATTAAGATACCGCAGAGCAGCATTAACCTCTGAGCTCCCCACTGCGGCCCATTGATTTACGCCCTGGCTGAGCTCAGAGGGACTGTGGTCACGGTGCAGGTGAATTGTGGGTGAAGACGCATTACATCTCTCCAAAGACAGTGAAGCTATTTGCTTCTCCGTTTTTTTTTTTCATCTCAGGCAGAATTCTCGTTCAAGGGATTCCTGCGAGACCCTGATAGAGTGACCTCCCTCCTCAGAGGACAGTCCTAGTCTTATTTTAATTTGAATGAATTAATACTTAATTAACTCTCTCCTTCAAACCAGACCTTATAATCCTAGAACTGTTTGCTAGATACTGAAAACGGGATCCTCCTTCATTAATCCAAATGTCCTTCAGAGTGTAGTTTGCATTGCAGGGCTAAATCGTGACTTTGCTAAATCAAAACAGTGAATCGTAAGATGGACGCTAGCCGGTGAGGCAGAGCTCACACTTCAGAAAGCATGTTAAGAACGAAGCTAGCACACGGTACCTTTTTTCACTGAACAGCAACTAAAGTTGCTTTTCTCCAGTAAATATTCCTTCAAAAAAGGTGTGATGTGTAGTTTTCAGATGAACCTCTAGAGGTCCTTAGCTGCTTCCTAGAATCTAGACTACAGTTTTTCTTTCTCTCTTTCTGCACCGTTAGCTCTCCTACGTGGATGCCGAGGGCAACCCAATCGGCGTGGTCCAGATGACGTTCCTGCGCCTGCTAAGCGCGAGCGCCCGGCAGAACCTCACCTATAACTGCTACCAGTCCGTAGCCTGGCACGACCAGGAGCTCGACTCGTACGACAAGGCCATCCGCTTCCTGGGCTCCAACGATGAGGAGATGTCCTACGACAACAACCCCTACATCCGAGCCGCCGTAGACGGATGCGCGGTGAGCACAAGGGCTGATGGGAAATGTGGTTTATTGCTTTATTTGGTAGTTTAAGGTTGTGGAAGATGGATGACAAAGGGTAATAATAGTGAGTTTACCCCCCTTTACTGCAGTACAAGCCTGTACTCCTCTGGGAAGGCTTTTGGAACATTGTTGTGAGGGTTTGACTGAGCTTTAGTGAGGTCAGGTACTGATATTAGATGGTCAGTTCTGGATCACTCCAACTAATCCCAAAGATATTGAATGGAGCTCCATCACTCCAGAACACAGTTGCTCAGAAAATGAAATATGGAGTTTAGAGCGCCCCCTGTTGTTTGCATTCAAAAATGTAGGTTAACAATGAATTAGAAGTGATGTACATTACAGATTGTATTCTATAACATGCCGTGTCGCCCCCATATGCAGTTATATTTGATGATCTGACTGATCTGATTAATTGACGATATAAGAATAAAAATACTGCTACCAAAACAGTTTTTCCCCAAAATTGACTACGAACTCGTTACGATGACGACACTATCATAGATTCCACAAAACGCAGCCAGCATTGAGCCAGTGGAATTGTATTTTAGTAGTTGTATTTTAATGTTAACAGTTACAGTCGTGTGCAAACGTTTGGCCTCCTCTGGTTAAATTCCAAATAAGTGAACACATCCTCTGCAGAGAATGTACTTTTTTTGTGCATTTTTTATGCATAATTACTATTATTTGCAGAATTAAGCATACTGGAAAAAGAGGAGAACATAAAATGCGGGTTGTACAAATGTTATGGCATATTTTAAATTTTATGATTTATTTTTTTGCAAGATGATAAAGTTAAAACATTAAAGTTTTTTGCTATAAGTGTGTGTTAGAAAATCAAAATTTCATCTTTGAAAAATTTACAAATTTTCATTTTCATTTGACTAAACTTTTGCACACAACTGCTCTGTGTTGTATTTGTAGCGCTTTGCTTGTGTGGTCAAACATTTCATGTGCAGAGATGAATGGCGGTTCAAAATCAGCCACCAGATGGCGCAGTTCTGCACTTTTCCTCCTCATGTACATGATGACTTCTCAAACTCCGTCGACAAGCACAGCCACTGGTCATGAGCTGATAAATGCTGTCGTTTTATTGGCTTCCAACCTAAACATCTTCACGAATTAGGGAGTGTTTCATGTAAGGTGCTGGCAGGCTGGCGCTTGATTTCATGCACTGAAGCTGATTGAAAGCTCCAGGTCGTACGAACGTTACATGAATCAGACACAGAATAGTTTGTCATGAAAGGTGCTCAAATCTCCACTCTTTATCATGCAGATTTGACATAAATCGCCCACTCTTATATGATCATACTTTGCTTTTTTGTACCGTGTGAAGTGAACACCTTTGTTCTTGTCTTCTCTCCTTGTCCCACAGTTGAAAAAGGGCTACGAAAAGACTATTCTTGAGATCAGCACACCCAAAGTGGAGCAGGTACCATTCGTGGACATCATGTTCAACGATTTTGGCGGAGCGACGCAGAAGTTCGGCTTCGAGGTCGGCCCGGCCTGCTTTATCGGCTAAGACTGTTCACTGAGCGCACCAGAACAACAGCAACAAACAACACAGCAACAACAACAGCAACAAAACCACAAACGTATTCATTCTCTCAGAAACAAAACTAAAGAAAGGAATAGGGCAACGTATTTGTAAAGTTTTAAAGTTTTGTGTTTCCAAAAAAAAAAACAACAGCTCATAGAAAGGATAAAAGAAATTGAAGAAAGGAGTTTTAAACGATCCATTTTCAACCTTCTTAACCTCAAACGTACCCTGTCCGTCACATGCACGTTTTGAAACTGGACGAGTCGAACGCTAGCTAGCTGATTCTGTCCGAACCCTGCGCTACCATTAGCCGCTTAGGCCCTCCACTCGTGCTGTATAGATTTAGGAAAGAGCAGCTTCCTCGATGCACTTCCTTCAGGTGGGACTCTCCACGGACTCCACCGCCACGTTCTAGCTCTGTCTGGGTTCTGCTTGTGTTTACCGCCCCGAGCTTCTTCTTCCTCCTTTTTTTTGTGCATATTTGTCTTTCCGTTCCTCCGGAATGGTGCTTATATATAAATATATATAAATATTTTTTTGTATGTTTGTAAGTACTTTCTGTATATTTTTCTCATGTTTTTGAATGTTCTGGCTTCAAAACATGCATGTGAACCATTGGGCGAGAAGGACTGGCCAAAATAAAGTTTGAAAAGCATCAGTGAGCCTGACGAAAATTGGATAAATTGAGGAAAATGAAAAATAAAGGAAACATCCAGAACAAACGCATGATGTCTCATTGCAGGTGTGACGTCCTTTTTTATTGCTTTAATTTTTTTTTTTTTGTATCTTTTTTGTTTCTGTAACAAATGACAGAACGACAGTATGAAAGGTCCCGCTGCCATCATGTGACCGTCGACTTTTTAAAAAATTTTTTTTGCCAAACATTGGAAATCGGAAACGTCCCATGGGCTCTCGTGACGGGGCCGGATTGACCCGATTGCATCTTTTATCCTTTTTTCTTTCAACACTTTCGTGCTTGCGTCTATCAGAAAAGCACAAACGATGGGAGACAGTGTCACTGAGGAAACACATTATCGGTAAACTAGGTGCTATTTCCTTCCTGCCTGTGGTGCTATATACATATATATAAATATATAAATATTTCTCTTTTTATGTTCGTTTAAATTCAGCGATGCCAATTTCCATGTGCTGTTTTTCTCCATAGCGATGTTTTTCCAGGTTAAACAGATGTTTTTTGGGGAAATATCTTTATGCATGCCCATCCAGTCGTATACATTTTCATAAAACCGAATCTCTTCTTAACTAACGAACTCCTCTCTTTGCCTTCGGCCCACACGTGTTAATGATGTCGAACATGCAGTATGCGATGTGTAATTACTTGGAGATAATTTATGTACCTTAACGTAGTCCTCCGTAGCACATTTATTCAAGTAAAACATTATTTTACAATTGGCGGACCTGGAATGCAATCAGCTGTTCACCTCAAGCTTCAGAAGAGTTGTATGATTTCTATTTTTATTTTTATTTTTATTTTTTTTTAGCGGAGGGCTTTTTTTCCATGTTTTTTCCATATTTTTCCTTTTTTTTTGTTCAAGCGGGAGCCAATCACAGAGCAGGACACATGTTCTCCGCTCTCCAGCCAAAGCTATTGCACAGCTTTAGACTTGAAGACCAAAAAGGATCACTTTATATACGATTACGAGACGCATGTGTACGCATGTATCGGATAGATTAGCATCGATTTTCCCTCTTGTATATCTCGCAGCACACAAGTAACTCTGTAGAGGCTTGGATTAGAAAAACAAAATGTCGATTATTTGAATGGAACAGTTTATTTTTTGCTTTTCGGTTCCAGCTCCTGCGTTCTTTTTGCCACTAGCGATGTCCCTTATGCACTCTGCGTCAGCTTACACCACTACGCTGGCTACTGCCTTTAACTTTGACTTTCTGTTCATTTTAAATGACTTGAACTGCTTCATAAAGACAATTAAACGCGGACGAAAGAAAAAAAAAAGTCTTGTCATAACATAATGTCTATTGAAAAAATAAGAACACGACCAATTCTGTAAATTTTCCAAAACCAGCAGTGATGCTGCCAGTGTTTTTGTTATTATTTTTTTTTGTAATGTTTGTCTATTTGTTTGTCTGTTTTAAACCTGTGTAAGAGAGGATAGAAGATATATTGGATTTTGTGTCAATAAATTCAAGTTTACTGTGGCCACCCAACCTTGTATGTCTTTTGAAGCATTAAAAAACCTGTATGCATGAAAATGACGAAAGTTTTTTTTTCTCTTAACGTTGTACTCGCGGATGATTTGTTCCCGTTTTCCGATCGTCGGCACAGTGTGCGCTTCCAGTGCTCAGACTGAACGTAGGCCTGTCCTTAATTGTGAAATGGAGAGAGAGCCAGGATGTTGTAACTCTCTACCAAAGATGATGTTCCTCTGTAGTATATTTATTGTATTATTTAAAAAAAATAATAAATGTTAATTGATACCAGTAGTGTTACCATGACCCACACTCTTATTACAAACCCAGCCGAAGGTCAGTTTCACTCCTTTCTTTTGTAACCATGAGGCTATCTGACCACCGGTCAGGCAACAGAGTTTGGAACTGCAGCTCTTGGTTGACTTTTTTCAGGTTGCATGTTGTTTCTTGTATGGATTGTTGGTGGATGATGGATCTTCATGGGATTGAATTGTCCATGTGAGTTTTTAGGGGCAGCTGGATGCAGGGAAGGCCTGACCACTCCACCCAGGTATGGGACAACATAAATATAAGCATAAACAGAAGAAGATACTCGACCAAACTGACAAATGGCTTATATGACATTATGAATGATGGAAAGTTTATCGTAAATTATTTTTAAGTGTGTACTTTTTGTTTTTAAGCACAATTTGAATAAATTACTGTCCTTTTTCCTTATTTAAACTGTCCTTTTGTATTGGTCACTTTAGTTAATACACTGATCTACACTCACTGTGCATGTTATCAGCTCCACTGACCATATAGTTTCCCTTTGTAGTTCTACAGTTACAGACTGTAGTCCATCTGTTTCTCTGCACACTCTGTTACCCTGTTCTTCAGTGGTCAGGACCCCCATGGACCCTCACCGAGCAGGTACTATTTGGGTGGTGGATCATTCTCAGCACTGCAGTAACACTGACGTGGTGGTGGTGTTTTAGTGTGTTTTGCAGGAGTATTTAAACACTGTCCACTTACTGTCCACTCTATTACACACTCCTACCTTGTCAGTCCACCTTGTAGATGTAAAGTCAGAGACGATAGCTCATCTGCTGCTGCACAGTTTGTGTTGGTCATCCTCTAGTCCTTCATCAGTGGTCACAGGCCGCTGCCCACAGGACGCTGTTGGCTGGATATTTTTGGTTGGTGGACTATATGGTCAGTGGAGCTGATAGAATGGACAGTGAGTGTAGATAGAAGGCAGGGGGCTGATTGTTGCATGCGTTTAAGCTATATGCTCTTATTTCAGGTGTGTAAGTGGAGACATAAAGACACAGACGAAATAAATTGGAACTGGAAACAAAACGTTTTTATGGTATATAAAAGGAAAACTTGTAGGTTATCAGGTCAAGAAGCCCCATGCCTGTGGTAAGAAATCCCCCCCAGGTTGTATAATTCATATATGAAATCATTTCTAAGCTTAGCATTCTTCAAACATTGTGCTATCAATCAGAGAACAACACAAAGTGGAATTGAAGCCTCTATCAAATGATTCCACTTCACTTTAAGCTGAGACAAATGACTGAAGACTGAAACAGTGTTGTTTACTATCACATTGTGTTTATCAATTTCATAATGATAAAAAAGACATGAAGTACAAATCACACAGGGGACCTAACAACCAAATATCAGATGTGTCGCTCTTTCCCTTTATTCCAGCTTCCATTCTTTTCAGGAGACTCAGAAATCTGCAGACACACCTCCAAAGTTCAGACTTAGAAGCTGGTTGATCATTTTCTGAAGTAATCAAACACATTCAGTGGTGTTGAGGTCTGGACTCTGGGGTGGTCAGTCCGTTGTTCAGCTTCTTTGTTTGATGTGTCCGTCTCCTTTGTGAAATAAAGCCATAATAACAAATCCAACACTGAATGTCTTCTGTCATTATTTATCCATTTCTCTGTGTTGTGTTGTCGTTAGCAAGGCTGTTAGCCGTCCACTGATGCCTTGGGTTGGGTTGAATCTGTCAACCCATCAGAGACTGTGTTCCTGACTTGTCTACCAATCAAAGGCTGTGTTCCTGACTTGTCTACCAATCAAAGGCTGTGTTCCTGACTTGTCTACCAATCAAAGGCTGTGTTCCTGACTTGTCTACCAATCAAAGGCTGTGTTCCTGACTTGTTGACCAATCAAAGCCTGTGTTCTTGACTTGTCAACCAATCAAAGACTGTGTTCCTGACTTGTCGACCAATCAACAACTGTGCTCATGACTCGTAGGCCAATCAGAGACTGTGTTCCTGACTTGTCCCCCAATCAAAGCCTGTGTTCTTGACTTGTCAACCAATCAGAGGCTGTGTTCCTGACTTGTCCACCAATCAAAGCCTGGAGGCTGTGTTCCTGACTTGTCCACCAATCAAAGCCTGTGTTCTTGACTTGTCAACCAATCAGAGGCTGTGTTCCTGACTTGTCCACCAATCAAAGCCTGGAGGCTGTGTTCGTGACTTGTCCACCAATCAAAGCCTGTGTTCTTGACTTGTCGACCAATCAGAAGCTATGTTCTTGACTTGAGGACAGACCAACGCTACTCTTATGGGCAAAATAAACATCCTTAGCATGCAACGTTTACAAGATATTGGTTCTTGTATGTACAATGTCCTGTAATGTTGCATATGACATTGTTGACTTGGGAGGGTTAATATCCAGCCAAAAAGCCACTGAGTACAATTTATTGATTTCTCCGGAGAGATTTTTGAATTGATTAGATAAAAAATGATCCACTTGCATAAGGAAGGGGAAAGCCAAAGTAAAAAAAAAATCCAAAATTGAAAGCCACAGAGAAAATGCAGCCCCTAACAACCACCTGGAAGAGCTGGTCGACCCCAAAACTGCCCCCATCAGATAAACAGCACTTAAAGCTTTCATCTCTGAGAGAGAGGAGAAAATCAAGCTGCTTCAGATCTGAAAACATCCACAGGTGTTTCTGTCCATCCTTCCACTGTGAGAAGACGACTCAGCGCTGGGGGTCTGAAAGGATGTGTAGCTGATCAAGACGAACCTCACTGAGAAAAGGAGACGGACACATCAAACAAAGAAGCTGAACAATGGACTGACCACCCCAGAGTCCAGACCTCAACACCACTGAATGTGTTTGATTACTTCAGAAAATGATCAACCAGCTTCTAAGACTGAACTTTGGAGGTGTGTCTGCAGATTCTTTGAGGAACTGAAAGTGAGTCTCCTGAAAAGAATGGACACTGTAGTAAAGGTAAAGAGTGGACACAGTAACACCTGATACACTTGATAGTGGTTAATGGCTGTTTTGACTGGAATTTAAATACATGAAGGGTGGTCTCTGACATTAGGGGTATTCATAATTAGCACACAAGCTAGCTATGGCTTGAAATAACTAAATAACCTGTTAGCTTAGCTGGCTAGCGCTAGGTTTTTGTAGATGTTAAGGGTTTTTATCAGGTTTTATTTAGAATTCTGAAAATATTTTTAGAGACAATATTAGAAACCCAGTCAAAGATCACTGGAACTTCCCCACAGAACCACTTCTGAGCTTTAACAGAAACCCTGGTGAA